AGTAGAAGAGTCTTTGGTCTGACCAGGGACAGTTATTTTTATAACCACATTTTTGTTCATTTTAGTGTCAGTAGGGTACCACTAAGAGAGGGCACCTTCTTTGAGTCTCTAACTTGATTCTGGTGTGACTCAACTGGCCCGAGAGCAAGTGTTGTATTCATCTACCTGGTGGCAATGAACAGCAACCAGACACTCTGCACACATCTATTCTGCTAAACAAAAGTGGAAAAAGCAAGATCCCCATCCCCAAAAGGTTCTTGCCCTTCCCTGTCAAGAGGTAACTGCCAAAAGTTCAAGGTCCTTCATAGCTGCAGGAACCATCTTTGCTTTGGATGGAAAATCCACCCAGCAACTGGGACAGAAATGGGCACAGCCATGCACAGACGCCACATCTAAGAGAATCGGCATTTGACCTGGAACCAGGACATAGAGGCAAGCAGCAAAGCACTGCCCCAAACAATGCACAGATTGTTTTTGCTGCAGGGTATGCACTGCTGACTCTGACCTACAGCCTGTTCTGACCAACTGGCTGACTCCCCTGGCTCTACACACACTTGCATGCCTGCTACTAACCCATCTCGTGGAGCTTTTGTTGAGGGTGAAGAACACACGCTTTTATTTAATGGCCAGGGTGGGCTGTGATGCCACGTACAGTTAATGTAGTTGAGAGTTGACAAGTATGGCTGATTCCGCTGCAGTAACATGACCGACTGTCCACACCTTCGCTTCTTCTGCTCCCAAAATGTTGTGACCTAATTAAGGAAAAGCTCCAATGTGCCCACAGGGAAAACTGTGTTCCAGTATGCCTAAATAATCACTGTCCTACAGAGACACTGAGTGTTGGGGTGGGATAGGACAGGACACAGCTACATTGCCTGGAAAGAGGATCTTCAGGAGGTCCTAGACCATGGTGAGACCTCCTGCACCATGCCTTGGCCCTTGTCCAGCTGCCTGAGCCTTCTGCTTTTTTTTTTTTTTTTGACTCCCATCACAAAGCTGTAACCCTTCACGAAGCTGTAACCCTGCAGAGAGCCCTCTCTCTGGAGACCCCCCCTGACTCCCTAGCTACAAGCAACCATCCAGCTCAGGGCTTTCATTGCTCCTACAGTGAAATATTAATGATACTATCAGCCCTTCGAGCTCACTGTCTCTTTTGAGTTGTTTGGATCAAAAGTAGAAAGATAGAGCCATGAAAAAGATGCTTTTGGAGGGTTTGGCGTTTTCTAGGAGCGCTAACATCAATGCCCCAGAATCCCTCTGGGACAATGCCAGGAAAGGTCAGACAGCCCTCCATCAGTCCTCATCGATTCCCTCCTGACTGGAGCTCATCCTAATAAATTGTCACAGAGGACCATTGTGCTAATCAACTTGCTATTAATGTGGGCTTAGAAATGATTATGGCATTGATTAGAGGCAGCTTGTCAGCCAGAGCTGGTAGCAACAGCTTCCAGCTGGCTGGTTCTGAGACTCGCTGGTGCTGTCAGTGGTGGCAGGAGATATCCGTCCCAGACCA